CTTTTTCTGTTTCAATTCCGGTCAAGGGTATGTACCTGGGTTGCAGGCACATCCCCAGTAGGAGGTGTGCAGGAGGCAGCTGATCGATGTTTCTCTCATCGATGTTTCTAACTCTCTATCCTTCTCCCTTTCTCTCTGTAAAAAAAAAAAATCAATAAAATATATTTTTTTAAAAAAAAGAAATATGAAAAGTGTGTTACAAAGTCCGGTTATCGTTGGGGAGATGAGGTTACGATTGGGGAAGAGCCCGTCATGTTCCATTCTTTGAGCTCGGTAGTGATTACATAAATGTTAACGTAAGTATTCTTGGGCTGTGTGCATTTCTGTCTATAGAAAATGGATCTTCCAATAAAATGTTTTTTTAAAAAAAACTTTTAAAAATGTTTTCTTAGAAAACAATTTATATCTCAAGAAAACCTTTCTTTCAAACTTGTCCACCACAGGTTGTATTACAGCTGCCCTAAGAATCTTGGCCGCCATCAAAATAAACAAAAATCATCTTGAAAGTTCTAGAAAGCAACTGCATAAATTATATAGTTTGTATGTGTGTCTCTGTATGTGTCACGCACCCGCATGCGCATACTTATGAATGTGTGAGTTTGGTTTTTGTTCTCAGGACCTCAGCCAAGGAAGCAGCTGAAAGAAAACCTCTGTCCTCATTCCCAGTAGTTCCCAGGGGCTAATGAGAAAAGATATTTTCAAGCATGCTTTTTCTATTTGACTCTGTGTGCTTTGTTTATTTGAACGAGTGAGCAGTGATAATAAAGGTAAAAGGAAATTTTTTTTCAGGTTAGAGAACTATTACTAGTATGTGTGAACTTGGTTCTATAAATATATGAGAAAAACTTTTGGATAAAATTTCTACATCTAAAAATTCATTGTAATGGAAACTCTGTTCTTATCTTTCAGGTATCATCTTCAATAAGTAAAGAAAGTCAAGAAGAAGGTATGGTACATTTGGGTTCTTAAGGAGCAGGAGGTGTAATTTATTCGTTTTTAGTTAGTGGAAGCCAAAAAGAAATTCAATAGATTAATTTAAAAATTATATAAACTGGAGAGTATTATGCTAAATGAAACAAACCAGTCTCAGAGAAAGACAAGTATCACATGATCTCACTCATATGTGGAATCTAAAGAACAAAGTATACTGATGAATAAAATAGATCCAGAGACATAGAACCATGGAACAGACTGTCTAATCTCAGAGGGAAGGAGGGGGAGGGTAGGGTGAGAAGAGATCAGTCAAAGAGCTTGTATGGATATATGCATAACCCATGGACACAGACAATAGGGTGGTGAAGGCTAGGGGTAGGCAGTGAGGGGGAGTAAGGGCTAGCTAGAAGGGGTCAATGGGGGAAAGGGACATCTATAATACTTTCAACAATAAAGGTATAATTTTTGAGAAGTTATATAAACTAAGTAAAATACTTTTCAAAATAGTCATTAAAATTTTCACATGAAGTAGTTTATTAATTTCAGAAAATGAGAAAGAGTACATTTATTACTTTTAGGCTAGAAAATGGTTGATTATGTAGTGACTTTTTTGGTGAAATAGAGAGATTCCAGCTAGTTCTAATAAGCTTAAAAAGACTCCAAATATCTGATTTGGGATATTTTCTTCATCTTTCTTCACTTTAGTTTGACTAAAGATCTTAAAAATAAAATTTGTAGCATGATTAAAAATGCCATATTTTTACTCCCATTATATTTGAAGCTGTTTTGAGAAACAAGTAAAAATATTCTGTGGTAAAAATTTCAGAATACAAGCATATGCACATATAATTTGTCTTTCAATATTTGGGCAGACATTTGGCCTGTTGCTTTAATATACAACAGTAGAAGAATATTGAGCTTGCAAATCTGTAGAAAAAAAATGAGCACTACAGACAGTCCTTGGGTTACGTCGGACTTGACATACATTGTTTTGTGGTTACGTCACCATCTCCCATTTATTTATTAAAAAGAAAAAAAGTTCCGTCATTTCGATGTATATACATATGTGCTTTGTGTTTTTTATTATGTATTTACCACAAGTAAAGGTCAGGAATTGTTATCTTTCTTTTACTTTTTCACTTCATTATTGCTGTGTATATGCTCCATGTGAGTGAAGTAGGTGCTTATGTAGGTGGGTTCCGACTTACAGTGAAAATCGCGTTATGTCACGCAGTAGGAACAGATCTCCAACGTAACCCGAGGACCTACTGTATTTACTGTGAGTCTAGTTCTCGGATGTTTAGAAAGGAGCAGAACCATAGAGCTGGCTTTATGGGGAAGCAAGCTCCATTCCTTATGTGGGGAACTAACCCATTGTTTTTTTGTAATACTATCCCATTTTGTATATTTGACAGGCAGTCCAATTTTACAGTTCAAGGTTTTTCTAGACTTTTCGTGCTGCAGCTAGGGTACTAACTTCTGTAGCATTCAATAGAGACTAAAATCACCCAGAGAGAAGTAGGAAATAAAGTGGGAAGGCTCTAGAATTTTTTTATTAATATTTTTTATTGATTTCACAGAGGAAGGGAGAAGAAGAGAGAGAAAGAAACATCAATGATTCGCTCTCATCATTGATCGGCTGCCTCCTGCACGCCCCTTACTGGGGACTAAGCCCGCAACCCAGGCATATCCCCTTGACCGGAACCAAACCTGGGACCTTTCAGTCCACAGGCCAACGCTCTATCCACTGAGCCAAACCCGCCAGGGCAGGCTCTAGAATTTCTAATGTAGTTTTATGTAAGATTTCATCTAAATGAGAGAACTTAAGACAAGAGTTTAAAGGGAAGTAGCTTTAAATAGAGAAATGTCATGCAAAATAAGCTTTTAAAAAATATATATATTTTTATTGATTTCAGAAAGGAAGGGAGAGGGAGAGAGAAACATCAATGATGAGAGAGAGAATCATTGATCGGCTGCCTCCTGCACACCCCCTCCTGGGGTTTGAGCCTGAAACCCGGGCATGTATCCTCACCAGGAAATGGAACCATGATCTCCTGATTCATAGGTTGATGCTCAACCACTAACCCATATGGACTGGGCCATGCTAAGCTTCTTGATTGTTTTTACCTGCCTGAACACTTCCTAAAGGTCTAAATTAAATTTGTCTTATTCTTCCTTCCTTCCTCCCTCCCTCCCTCGAACCCCTTCCCTAACACCCTTCTTCCGTTTTAAACACAGAGCAAGTGTGGCACTTCCTTGGCAAGTGATGGGAACATTTGAAGTTCTGCCATCAAGATTCCAGTCTCTGAGGACTTCCAGACTGTCTCCCTCAAGTGCTGGAGATAGGCAGATCGATGAGAATTTGCTAACTTTCTGTTGAAACTCTTTTTCCCCCCAAACTTTCTGGGATATGCACTATGTAAATAAACACTGGTTTTGAATTAGTCTCCTCCAGATATTTATTGATATGATAAAGATTTCATTTAATTTTGTATCAGAAATTTAGAAACACTCCTTGAGTTTTGGCCAGTTCACATTTCTGTGCCCAAAGATTTTATTGGGCTTATTTCTATAGGTTAATGTAAACATTATAAATTTAGTACATTAATAAGATTTCTATAGATATTATTGTTTTCATTTTCAGACCTTATTATCCCTTTTCAAGTCTCTTGCTGGCAGAGACTTCATTGGCCAACCTCTGTCCACTTATTAGTTCTGTGTAAATGTGTTTGCATATTAAGGCTCTTAACTATAACTTCCAGAGTTCTGAAAGTCTTTGAATTTCATCCAGTTTCCATAGTTTCAATTCTTATCTCTATGGTGATGACACCCAGCTATACATAAAAAGCCCATGTCTTTCTCTTGGGGTCTGCCTACGGGACATCTCTCCAAATGCCTTAGACCCCTCTGGTCCAAAAATGACCTCCTGTTAATTCCTTTGTTCTTGAACAATTAAGTTAACATTCTTTTAGTCCCCCACTCAAACCCTTGATACCATATTGAACCTCTCTTCTATCTTTACTCATAAAGATCATCTAAATGTAATTGTTTGTTTGTTTGTCATGTTCGTTCGTTCACCCCCATTCTTCGCTTACTGTCCCCTTATTTCATGGGGACTGTTACCACAGCCTCTCCTTGGTGCCCTCCTCCTATTCCCCAGTTGCTCTCGTTCTGTTTCATACCCTCTTGCCTCCTAACTAAGTCCTGCCTCTGGCTCTTCTCCCTCCATACCACCTTCCACATTTCTAAACAGTTGTTTTCTTAAAACTTAGGTCTTGCCTTGTTAAATTTTTCTCAAAATGTCATCCATGGTTTTTCATACTGAGAAAAAACCAGACTCCGATTTCCTCAGGGTCCCATTCTCATGCCATGCCTGCTACGCGCTCCTCTTCACACACCTTGTCTGTTCGTGCTCCCAGTGCTGTGCTTCTCGTGCCAATTCTGTTCACATTTTTGTTTGGTTGTGTTTTCCCAGAAAACAAACATTATTTACAGTTGAAAAACATGGAAAATCTTGGGTTCTGAAGATCTCTTGATCAAACAGGGCAACAGCAGGCCGGGAAGCAAACCGGGATGATCTTACTTGAGGGCATCACTCAGAGCAAGGCCAGGCCTACAATAGCAGAGAGGTCAAGGTCTGAGTCAGTCTCGCTCTGGACTACATCGCCCCACCCTGGTCACTACGGGCAGCTTGGGCTTATTGTTGGGACTCAGTCTTTATCATCACTAGAAGTCCATCAGTGATTTTTCCAAACACTGCATGCTTCCCATCCAGCCAGGCACCCTTAGAGCAGGTGATGAAAGCCTGGCAGTCATTTGTACTGGGACCACTGTTTCCTATGGGAAGCAGGCCTGGAGCTGAGTGTCTAAATTTAAAATTTTAATCTGCAAATGGCCCCCAGTAAATACTGGCAACTCCAGTACCATCTCCATTAATAAAATCTCCACTCTGGATCATGAAATCCTTTATAACCCTGTGAAAATGCCACTTTGTATCCTATAGGAACCCTATCTTTTCTGAATTTTCCAATGCAGAACTGCCTAAAGTTCTCAGCTGCCTTAGTCACAAGGTCTGCAAAGAGCTTGTTCTCCAAACAGCCAACTTTCTGGTCTCCGATGCTAATATCAATGAACACCCCAGGTTGACAGGGCTTGAATTTGCCACCACCATGGCTCCAACCCAGAACTGTTCATATCTTTTTTCTTTCCTTTTTGTTCTGTTAGTATCATCAATAGATATTTGCACAATATGCTTTGTGGTTTACAATAATTACAATTTCTTGAGCATCTGTTCTACATGAGGCACTGTTGTAGATGTCCTATGTGCACATATTGTAAAAGGAAGACATTGCCCACTTCATATTGAGGCTCAGAAAGTCTATAATTTGCCCAAGGTCACATAGCTAGTTAGTATGAGAGCCAAAATTAGAACTCATGACTATATGGCTCTAAATCCATCAGTCTTTCCATGTACTTACGTTTTCCTCATACAGTTCATTTTGATGTAGGCACGGCTCAGAATAGGCCTGTTTTACAAAAAAGTAATGGGTAGAGAGGGTGTGATTAACCCAAATGAAATAGCAAGGTTCCCTTGAAATGTCTTTGGGAATGTGTGAATCTCTTTGAAGGACATCAGAGAATGTATTGGTTTTAATTTTATTGATATATTGACTTTTTAATTGTGAAAATATAACTTATAGAAAATGGGAACAACTGTTACTTTGATCGTTGTAAACAAGCTGAATCACCAAAGGATAGATAAGTGGGCTTGTGGCATGTGGCATATTAGTCTCCTGAAGGTTGGAAGAGAGAAGCCATGTCTGGTGAGCCTCTTCGTATTGGGTGCAACAGGGCATCTGTCATTCATGTCCGAATTCTGGTGCACCTGAGAGGAAAGCTGGGAATGCGTCTCTTCTCTCTTCAGAACAGATGAGACACGGGGCTCTTTCCCCCTTTTTAAGTGCATGGTTGTAAAGGGCTGAATCACAGAAATATTAGGGGGATTTGATTGGATCAGTTTACAATACATCTCATAATTTTAATTAGCCAACTCTTTGTTTAGACATGCTTTCTCATGCTATTTTAAAATGTATTTATTCAAGAATTATTGACTGCACATACACTAAGTCCTCACTAACATCATCAATAGGTTCTGCACTTTCAGGTGAAACGAAGTACAGTGGGGCCTTGACTTACGAGTTTAATTCGTTCCGAGACCGAGCTGGTTAAGGAGCTCGTTAACTCAAATTATCAACTCAATGCAAAAAATCAGCCGAGAGACAGCTGGTATCTCAAAAAACTCGTTAGTTGGGACACTTGTAAGTCAAGGCCCCACTGTATAAGGAAACCCTAGCTAATAGATATAAACAAGAGTTCCTGCTGCATTTATCAATGTTGTAACAAAGCAATACTAAACAAAACATTAATTGAGGACCTACTGTATGTGCCAGGTAATATTCTGAGTTTTTAGAATACATCACTGCAAAACAAAAATCCCTGTTCGTGTGGACCTTGCATTTTGTGTGGGGATAACAGATCACAAACATAGTAATTTATGTAGGATGTAGAAGAGAGGGAACAGGATAAGGGGATCAGCAATCCAGTTTGTGTTCCGGGTAAGAGTACGAATTGAAATTTTGAATTGAGTAGGCAACAGGCCTCATTGGCAAGATGATAGCCGAGCAAAGGTTGAGAAGTGGGAGTGGGCCCATGTGGGTCTGCAGAAGAGAACCAAGGCAGGGGGAACTCGACGAACAAAGGCCCTGAAGCCAAGTGTGACCCACTTGTTAGAGGAACAGTAAGAAGGCCCCATGGCTGGAGGGGAAGGAGTAGAGGAGGAGTGACAGATGGGATCCCAGAGGGGGCAGAGATCACGTAGGGCCTTGCAAGCCAACAGAAGGACTTGGCCTTTTACCCTGAGAACATGAGCCATCTGAGGGCCCTGAGCAGAAAAACACGGGTCACTCCAACTGCTGCGTTGAAAATGGATTGTGCTGGGGGTGAGGGGTGGCGGACCCTGTAGCTCCAGGATGGAAACGGAGATTACTTATGTGGTTTCTCCAATAATCTATAAAGTTGATTTTTTTTCTTTTGAGATCATTTTCTTAGTACAAATTCCCAAAGGTGGAGCCAAAGAATAAGAACATTTTATAACCAAAAAGATTTTCGTAAGAGTTATTCCAAGTTATACTGTTACCAGCAATATATGAGATTTCTAGGGTAGGATATTTTATTGTCACTGTTATGATTGATTAGAGGTCCGGTGCATGAAATTCATGCACAGGGTGGGGGGTGTCCCTCAGCCCAGCCTGTACCCTCTCCAATCTGGGACCCCTCAGGGGATGTCCCACTGCCTGTGGGATCAGACCTAAACCAGCAGTTGAACATCCCTCTCACAATCTGGGACTGCTGGCTCCTAACCACTCACCTGCCTGTCTGCCTGATTGCCCCTAATCACTCTGCCTGCCAGCCTGATCTCCTTCAACTGCCCTCCCCTGCCATCCTGATCACCCTCAACTGCCCTCTCCTACAGAACTGTGGGGACTGGAGGACTCCGGCTGGATGAGGTGGGCCTGAGAAGATTGGGGAACCGAGGCTGGATGAGGCATGTGGCACTTGCCACCCCCCAGCGGGGGTGAGGGCCTGAGGGACTGAGGATGGATGAGGCAGGGCTGAGGGACTGGGCGCCACCATCTTATGGCTGTGGGCGCTGCTGTCTTGTGAGGGCATGGCAGTCAATTAGCATATTCCCTCTATTGGCTGTGGTGCCGCCATCTTGTGAGGGCATGATGGTCAATTAGCATATTCCCTCTATTAGGATAGGTTTACATTTTTCCTATTATTACAAATGTTCTGTTTATTTGCCTATTTTTCTAATGAATCAATATTTTTATTTATATGACATCCTCAGTTTTAGTGCAAAATTTGGATTCTGAACACTAAAGCCAAGTTTAAAGATATTAGCCCACATTCAAGTAAAAAACAACAATCTTGGGGTGGGGTTTTAAATTGGATGAGGCGGGGTCTTAGGGAATCACCAAGGTGGAGCAAACAGAAATGGCTGCCAGTCAGCCCTGGGACTGGGGAGGTCCCAGCTTAGGAACAATGATCCCTGCGAGCACCTTTGTCTGGGAAAAAGCTGCCCCCGAGTTCCTGTCCTGATACCAGACAATCCAGTTCCTCCTTGTATGTGTCTCTGTCCCCCAGAGCCTTGCCCTGGTGCTGGAGCTCAGAGGAAGCAGGACTTAGGGAAATTGTTTTCCAGAATGGGATGGACTCATTTGTTGGCCCAGAGGAACAGTGGGGAAAATCTTGGCTGTTCCCTGCCCTCCTTATATTTATGACTTCAATCATAAAGGATTGGGTTTTTCTGAAGTGGGTAATTTGGAACAAAATTTACCATTTTATTTTTGTAACGGACTCTAAGAGACCTGGGCACTCTCAC